TATATATCCTGGACACTGATTATATATAAAATATGGGCAGCTGCTGAGCTATAGAGAAAGAAGTCTGGTAAGATGAGATTTCATATATATATAGTTTTCATATTTACAATTCCTTCATTTTACAATTGGTAAAAAGACCAAATTGGAACATGTTAGACTATTCTTCAGAAGGGAAAAAACAAAGACATGGATTCTGCTAAAGCTAAGAAGTTAATGATAAGAGCCAAGGAAGAGGGCTGGTTTCTCACAGGGATCCCCAGGGTCAAAGCCTCAGCTCTATTGTGTTTTCCCCAAGGTATATCCACCAGATAGAAGTGATATTTCAAATGTGAACAGCCCTGAGAATCCCACCAACTTTGATTACTGCTTTCTATTTTGATGCTGTTGTGTCCAATTATTTTTCACTGGGGGTCATAGGGAAGCCTTCCTAGTGGGTCCTTTTGTTTTACCAAAAAAAAAAAAAAAAAGTTGAATGGAAATGAAAAAATTCTTGAAAGCTCTCTTCTCCAACCCCCACCGCATTTTCTCCCATTACATCTCACATTGATGTGGTACATTTGTTACAGTTGATGAGCCAGTGTTGGCACATTACTATCAAAGTCCATAATTTACCTGAGAGTTCAGTCTTTGTATGGTTACTTAAAAATGTACAGTAACATGCGTTCACCAATTCAATATCATTCAGAGTAGTTGCACTACCCTAAAATTCCCCAGTGGTCTACTGAATAAGCTTTTTTCTCCCACCCCAGCAACCACTGTTCTTTTATTCATCCATAGTTTCACCCTTTCCAGAACCCATACCGTTGGAATTATAGAGCTTTTACCTTTTCAGATAGGCTTCTTTCACTTAGAAATATGCATTTAAATTCATGCCTGCGATGGTGTACAAGACCATGCCCGAGGTCAGTGCAGGCCTGGAACTTGAGACTCAGATCACTGCATTAAGAATGGCTTCATAGATCACTTTTTTAAATGCTGAATAATATTTCTTTCTTTTTCTTTTTCTTTTTTTGTTTGTTTGGGGGGTGGGTTGTTTGTTGGTTGGTACTGGGGATTGAACTCTGGGGTACCTGACCACTGAACCACATCCCCAGCCATATTTTGTATTTTATTAGAAACAGGGTCTCACTGAGTTGCTTAGCACCTCGCCATTGCTGAGGCTGGCTTTGAACTTGTGTGATTCTCCTATGTCAGCCTCGAAAATCACTGGGATTATAGGTGTGTGCCTCTGCGCCCGGTTTGAATAATATTCCATTGTAGAGATATACCAGAGTTTCTTTCTCTCTTCACCTATTTCTAGCCATATTGGTTGCTTCCATGTGTTATCAAGTATGAATAAAGCTGCTGTAAACATTCATGTTAAAGTTTTTATATGGAGAGTGTTTTTTAACTCACTTAGGTAAATACCAAAGAATACAAGTACCAGTATTTTACGTAGCGCCCCAGGCTGGAGACCAAGCCTTCAACACATCTTCTTTAGGGAATGTTTATGATCCGAACTATAACATCCCCATAGTTCAATTTAAGCACTCTCTATTACATTTGGTGCTTGTTTATATTTTCTCTTCTAGCATGAAGTCAACAAGGGACTACATTTCTTCAATGTTGTGTCTCTATATGCAGACACTGAATGAATAAAAGAAAAAATTAAATGTGATTTTTTTAAATTTTCCTAAGGAATTTCTAAAGAGATAAAAGAAAATAATTTTGAAAAACAATCATCCTTTAACAAAACCTGTTCCCCAACTCACCAACTTTTTTGTTTTTTTTAAAAAAATACCATATTTTTTAGACTTTCTAGGTATTTTGGCACAAAAGCCAGTGCTTCCTTTTATTAAACCTGCTGTAGTATTGTAACCTAACATGAAAGTAGCAAAGCAAAACCAAAGACTGCATTCTAACTTGTCAGCATCCCTCTTTCTTATCCCTTTTATCTCCACTAAAATCCTCCTCCAGCTTTCCTAACCATTTGACATCCTTTGAATGCTTTAATGTTAGCATTGTTCATTATGAAGTCACCTTGCACAAGGCAGCCCTCCCAAGAGGAGGGCAGGTTCTAATTAAGCTAACAGACAGCAGGGTGAAAACATTGTCCACTGAAATCAGAATAACACAGTGTTTTCAAGAATGGAAGGCTCTGCTTTTTTCCTGAAGCAGTGACGTGCCAGGCAGCTCCGCTGGCAGGCAAGACAATCTGGCTCCATCAGAGAGACTGTGAGATGAAGGTTCAAACAGAGGAGGCAGTGAGCTATCCAGAGAAGTACAAACCAAAGCCTCTGTCTTCAGAAAGTTCTGGATTTGAAAGTAAGAATCTTACCAGCTCGGAGAACTTTGTTCTTTTGTCTGTTCAACAAATATATTTTAAGTGCTGGGTATATAATAGACCAAATATAATCTCAGCCTTTCAGTAGATTGTACAGTGTAGTAGGGCCTAGATAAAAAGCAAATAAACCAGCGGATCGATTTATTCTTTCGAGTTATGATAAGTGCCGTATAGGAAAAACACAAGATGTCAAGAAAGTAGGTGGGTTGTAAGAACCTACTTTGATCTCCTGGTCTAGAAGGCCTCCTGCCGGGAGTAATGTTTTATTTGATATGAAAAAATAAAGAGCCTCCCATAAAAGGAGTATGGGGGAAATAAATTGATGGGGATAGTAAAGATGTTCTACCTCATCCATAAAATGGGCGCATGTATAAAGGTTTTTGTATAAAGTATTTAGCACAGGGCTGGCACTTTTTACATTGCTTAGCAAGTAATTATTCTTGTTATTATTATGGCTGTTGACCTCATATACTTTGTAACTGACTTATAAAAGCTTAGGATCACAATCTTTTATATCTTAAAAGATACATAAGAAGCATCAGCAGTTACATTTTTAAAGAAGAAGAAGGATACAGGACATTTTATTAAACATAGAGAAAAATCTCATATGAAACAGCTTCTTTTCTTAGATAAATCCCTCATCTGGATTTCTGTGTTTCGGCAAAACCTGACTAATTCAATCTGAAAATTAACTATCTTACATTTGTTCTGTGAAGCAAGAGAATAACATAATCAAAATGTAAGGAGGCAGAATTTTTAATTTAATTAAAGAAAATCTGTTGCTTCAGAGAGCTTTAACCACACATTTGCATATAATTAATGTGTTGATTACAAATTACTTGATTTTCCTCATTAAAGCAAAGCAACTAAAGTCTTACTCTGAAACATAACCTTTGTAAACTATTTCTTGACAAAGTTTGCTCTAAGTACATTATGCTGCTAATTTAGACTGGTTTTTCTCTTCAGTTAGCCCAAATTAGAGTTTTCTGTATGACCAGTCTGAAGTTGACCTGTTGCCTTTAGAAGCTTTTGATAGTTTATACTTTGTCATTTTCCAGAAAGTAGTGATTCAGTTAAGGTAGACTCTTTTATGGTTAAATGATCTTTGCAATATTTATAATTTGATAAAGGTTGAAAGGGTGTTCAAGATGTAATTTTCCTTCCTTTATTATTCTGCCAAATCTTCCTTTCTATAATCCTCAAGACTATTTTCACATCTCTGATTCCATATGCTAGAGCCCATAAGGGCCCCATATGATTCTCTAAATACTTTTTAAAAACTGTCTTTGTTCTCTGCCTCATGGGAGGAGATGAGTCTTCAGAAGACGTGTGCAAGTTTTAGTTCACACACCCAGAAGCCAGGCCTCCCCTTAGACAAAGGTTCCCAAACTTTCCTTGAATGAATGGTATACTGTATTAATGACAAATGATAATCTTGATGTCACATAGAAAAGATGGTTTCAGATCATTGCTACAATGTGTCCTTTTCAGACCATCTTACAAAATATTTAAAAATGTCGAAGATCATCATGAGACAGGTTTGGGCAATGTTAAAGGGATAATTTTTAAGAAAGGAAGATAATGACATGATTCTTGTGTTCTAATGTGGGTACTAAGTAAGATGTGTAAGAGATTTCATTTAACTCATCATTAGTGAGAGAATTGGTAAGACACTACAAACAAGTGAAACAAGAATTCAAAAACAATTGGTAGGTCAACAATATTGAACTAAATGTGCAAACGGAGGCACAACAATCCCTACTTCCATAGTGGGGAGAGAAGTCATTCGAATCTCTATTGAACTGAATCTTTTTACAATTACAAAACAATAATTATTATTCTTTTCTGCCAGTTAGCTATAATTTATGGAATTGTAAAGTAACTCAAAAGGGAATGATAGTCCAGAGCCTTTATTAAATCAAAATCAGATAACTCAGAAGAGGTTTCTCTCATAAAAGCACAGTTTTCTATTGAAGAAACATAATGGGGCATAAACATCACATATCATTCTTAAACTCATTCACCCACAAATGTATATTGAAATACTCCTGTATGCCAGAGGGCTAGTCTCTGGGGACCAAAAGAGAATCATGCATATTCCTTTTCCTCAGAAAACCTAAAATATCATAGGAAGAGACATGGGCAAATAAATGAGGGCAAAAAGTACCAGAGAGTTTATATTTATGGTTTATATAGAACACAGGGAAGAAATAAGGAGTAACTTTCTGTGTTTCTGTGCCCATACTTTATTCCAATGCTTTTAACATGATTGTTCCCTTTAAACCTCTTAGCTCCATAAGGTAAATACAATTATTAATTGTATTTACTAATCAGATGAGGTAACTGAGGCACAAAAGAATTAAAGAGATATATCCATGAAGCCAGGTTCAGTGGTACATGTCTGCAGTCCCAACTGCCCAGGAAACTGAGGCAGGAGGATTATTTGAGTTCTTGAGTTCTAGACTAGCCTAGGCAACAGAGTAAAACACTGTCAAAAAGAAAGAAGGAAGAAAGAGGGAAAGGGAAAGAAGTAGGGAGAGAGGAAGGGGAAAGGGAGGGAAGGAAGGAAGGAAGAAGGGAGAAAGAAAGAAAGAAAGAAAGAAAGAAAGAAAGAAAGAAAGAAAGAAAGAAAGAAAGAAAGAAAGAAAGAAAGAAAGAAAAGAAAAAAAGAA